GATACGAACGGAACGGGGGAAAAAAAAGGAAAAAAAAAAAAAAAAAAANAAAAAAAAAAAAAAAAAAAAATAAAAGTAAAAAAATACATATGATTTTCTTTTCTCCTTTTTATCCGTTTGTCTTGTGCCCTGATATCATTATAATATATAGATTTAATTCCAAGATTTTCTTTATACGATACTATCTACGATTGTTTTCTTTTTTTTTCTTTTGCCCTCCTCCCTTGATTTCAGTTGAACTGAATCTATAATATAATATTCAAGCAAGCTCCCTCTCGTGACTAATTACAATGTGTTTAACATGTATCACAAGTTGTAACCGAGATGATGATTTTCATGAGGTGACTATGTGTGCATTTTATTGTATATAGTTAACAATTACGATCGAAATGACAATGGTGATGACGATGACGTGCATCAAGCGACATGGTCACGATGATAAGACAGACGCTCATGATTGCGAGAGGTAACAGAGGAATTAAAGAGAATAAAGGGAAAAAAAAGAAAAAAAGAAAAAAAAGAAAAAAAAAAAGAATGAAATGAAAAATGAATACAACGTGTTTGATTGCTGGACAGTTAAATGAACATGTATTAATATCGTGTAACCCTCGTACGAGATATATGTGTAATAAAACATATTTATTGTCGGAACTTTGTTGTTTATCTTTTTTTGATCATTTACATATCTCCATAGATTTTTTTGTAATTTATATATAGAAAAAAAAAAACAATTTTTTTCGGGAAAAACTTTTTTCAACAATCTGTATATAAGAAAGAATGAAATTAATATTTTTAATAAATTCAATTTTTTAATAATAAACACTTGGAAAAAGATTTCATTCACAGTTTCAAAATGTACATATCTTTTCTCATAATTCCCAAATTATCCCACAAAGTATAAAAAGAAATGATAAAATTAGAAAAAGATGAATGAACGAATAATAAATTAGACAAAAAAAAAAAAAAATTCGAAGCGTGTAAAAATTTGCGAAAAAATCCATCCAAGTATTAGATTCCTAAATTAGAACAGTCAAGGTTTGTGAATAAAACCACCACAGACTTCCGTTTAATTATTTGTAAATATATTATTAAGTAACATCTATAATATAGTAATGAAAAACCATTTACATTAATAAGTATCATGGTAATAATTCGTGTGTGTGTGTGTGTGTGTGTGTGTGTACGTGTATGTATGTGTGTGTGTATGTGTATGTCTGTATATATTTTCTCTTCTTTCTTTCTTCGATCCAACATCGAAACGTTATTATTGATCACGCAAAGAATCGTGGTTCTTTCACGGTACAAAGCTTGAACGTTTCGAAATTTGAATTATGATAAAATTCTCTTTTCTCCCTCGAGAATTATAGAGCGCGGTGTCAACGCGTATTATAATCGTCTCATTTTCTTTTCTTTTTTTTTAAAGTTCCACTCTAGGATTCCATCCCCTTCCACTCTTAACTCTATCATGGTTCGAGATAACGCTGATATCTCCTCTTCTTATTTTTTTTTTTTTATTTTTTTCTTTTTTTTCTTTCGGTAAAAAAATGTATCAGGCGTCTTTTACACGCGGCTATCCTTATTCTAGCGTGATTAGTACGGGTATATCAAGATGGTTGGTTTCAGCCTTAACCCTCGATCGAGATCTCAAAATTTATTCTTCAAAATGAATTTTCATCTTTTTTCCCCAATTTCTTCGATAATTTCTTAAATTTGTAAAATTTAATCATTCATTGGATTTATTTTCCGAAATTTATTACTATTATTATTATTTCTCAAGAAGTTAAAAGATGAATAAATAAATAGATAATTGATCGATTCGGTTCGATTAATTTTTCTAAAAATTCGTTTCTCAACTCGATTAAGGAGACATTTTGTTTAAAACACGATCACGATCAATTGTAATTATTATAAACTTTAGTATGTATGATGATCACAATTCGTAATTATGATATTTTACTATTACAGTAATTCGAATTTATTATAGTTTGAAATTAATATCACCATGACGAATAGTCAGTGATAGTAATTTGCACAATCGTTGTGGAAAATTAGTGTAGCCATTAATCAAGTATAATATAGTCTAAAACTGTAAATAGCAAATTCGAATTTTCTCGATCGAGGGTTTCAAAAGCTCATTCCTCGATCCTTCAATTTACAAAATTGAAATTACCATGTAAATTACTAAGACTAGAGACGGGTAGTAGTCGTTGTGTTTCGTTCTACAGGCAGTGTGCGCGCGACGAGGTTAGGGAACGAATTATATTTTCAGTGCATTTTGTTATTTTTTTTTTTT